TAACTTTAGAAACAGAATAGTAAGTTGTGTTGGTGAATTTCTTATGTAAAGTCTATAAATTGACTCATTTGTAACCCACCAACTGTACAAAAATAGTCATAAAGTTGTAAATTTGGAAGACCCCAACTTATTTTTAGTAGATTCTGATAGAGGAAGACATGCTCTAGCAAGTTATTTTTATTTCGTTGATTTTTGGAATGATACATTATTACAAAAAATGGGTCAAAGGTCACGATAGCATATTAAAGGTCATGTGACCTACCTTTCACAAAATTTAATTTTGACAAAAGAAGTGATTTGAGCATGCAATCCTCATTATTTTAAAACAATTTCACATATATTCGATGAAAATTGCCATAGTTTTGACATATTTATACCAAAAGGGTGGTATTTTACTCTAAAAATGCCAATTTTTTGTGGCTTCTGCCCTGACCACATGGTAGGTCGGATCGGGCTAAAAATTGGTGTGTATTCATTGCTCATTAGGACCTACAAGCACAGCAATTTTTATCAAAATCGGAAGACATGAGGTAAAAAAGTGCGTTGGTCTGACATGGAATGACCCATATACTGCATATTCATAAGCCGCTAGGCCCAAAGCAGCCTGATCACAATGAAACGAGTGAGGGCTCACGAAAGCGAGTAATGTGCAAGGAAACTCGCTGTTTTGCTAGCTCCCCCACGCAAAAACGACGACATTATGCAGGTTTACTATGTTTTTTCCAACGAAACTGAGGAACTTACTGGTATTATTTGTAGGTTTTGGATTTGATGAATAGTTATTCAAGTGACTCCCGAGCGGCCCAATGCTGGAAATGCAGCGCACTTTTTTTATAAAATCACTTTTTCATAAAAAATGCTCATTTGACCTATGTACGCAGGCCAGATTGAGCGGATGAGACAACGTTTCCATATAGTTCAGTTCAGTTCAGATACATATATTTACGTTTGAAAACCTGTGAACCGTTCGTTGTCAATGGAGCTGGAGGTCCGGTGGAAAAAAAGAAAAGAAAACCAGGTGAACTTACCACGATGTTACAAAAGTGAGTCACAATAATAAGGCGGCAACTTGCGCTTTACTAAACACCAACCGATCTCCACGAGGGGCTCCAAGTAGCTGTCTTTTTTTTCTGCGGCTCTCTGTACGCTATCCAGTCACACCGATGCACTGAGAGAGTAGAGTGTTTTTATGGTGAGGACACGAATCAGTAAGTAGTGGCGATCGCGATATGGTCGCTTTCACCTCCGCCCACGGTTGAACAGACTTGTTTTTTTCCACCCGTGAAAGCATTGGCTTTCGTCCTTGGGTTGTGTTTTTTCTATGCAAACAAACTAAATAAAATATGCACCAACGCACAAACTAAATGGCACAATGAACCTTATGGCTTGCATAGAAGTAGAAATTTAACCTGCATTGAGGTTGAAATTCTACCTCCATTTGCACAACTAAATATCAAAGTGACCCTGCACAAACACATATGATATACACGCACATCTGTATATAGGTACTGCGTACTGTATAGCGGACTGTGCACCGATCTCCTGTCTTGTTAATTATTGTCCAGGCAAAATACTTTTATTTTTAAAGTGAAACTCACACATACGAACTGCAACAGAATTTGGAATTCTACCTACATTTCCTTGTTTGAATAACATTTTCTAAGGGAAATCAATATCAGAGACCGGATAAGGACATAATAAAGATACAAAATGGCTATTATTAATACTTTAAGTTAAGTTGCGCGTAAATGCCTTTTACTCATACATTCTCAAAGGTCAGTATTGATGAGCTTCAAATTCACAAACTTCTATCTACTGGCACAAACTTCTATCTACTAACAAAAATAAACGGTGAATTATGTGAAAAAAATAAAAAATTCTTGATCATATGCCAAAATACCGGGGGAGGGGGAAATGTGGTGTTCATGGTAAATTGGGCTAAACAGTAGGCGACGGGTTGCCTAACGAACAAAATAAAGGATTATTGTTGCTTACAATAAAACTGTCAACGTCAAAATGTTTTCTTACCAGTAATTTTGGAATTTCCTTGAACTTTTAGGCACCCACCTGCTTTTTAGCCCAATTATACAGACGCCTCTTTCCCCGTTTTTTGTTTTCTGGGCTAAACATCGAATTTTTATCATTCTTCAAATTTGCAGGAGCTAATTCACGTTGGGTCATTTTTGGAATTCAAATTCACCATTAAGCAAGATTTGTGAAATGTAAGCAAAAGAATTCGAAACTGGTTCATGTGATTACTTTGTTTGTCTGTTTCTTTGTTCCAATTTGAAAATGCTTAATACTATTTCCCACAAGATACGGCTACATAGCAGCAGCCACAAATGACCATATTTTGATCATTTTTTTGCATAAAAACAAGCACATGTTACTGAAATAAAGAATGTTTAAGATCAACTTAGGGCCTCATTTAGAAAAAGGTCAGAGATATAAGAAACCAAGATCGTCATTTAAATCTAGAAGATAGAAGGGCAAATGCACAGTAGTTTAAAACCATATATGACCCAGACATTATCAATATTCTTGAATTATCATCAAAAATATCATTGAAAACGAATTCAAATGCAATCATTTACCATGTAAAATATTGTCCAAATTCATTAGTACGTGCATCTTTGTCAAAACGATGCAGATTTTGCTATTCGGGAGTTTAACTCGCTGCTGTGGAGTAACGCCCTCTGTTGACCAATAGTGTACAGTGTGACAACTATTTTTTTTTCAGTTCAAAACTTCGCGGATCTAGGACGACGTACGTTCACTGCGCCATTTTGTGAGATCAAAAGTAAGACTTACCCATGCTTTTATTCAATCTACTCAAATGGGACTCATTAATTTACTGGAGAATTTTCATTTTCGAAGGAATGTAGTGTAATGTTTAATCATTGTTTTCCCTCGAAATTTGGGAAATAAAATTAATCATTGTGTGCAACGCAGGGGAATATGTATGTTTATGATGTTTCTCGCTTTTTTGAGTTTTGGGGGAGAGAGGGCAATCAGTAGAATGTTAGTAGGTTTTTTTATATTCTAAAAAGAAAAACAACCAAAACTACTTTGTAACTTACTCTTAGTAGAAAAGAAAAAAAACTAAAGTATTTTGAAAGTTACTCTATAAGCTTTATGCTGGGCTAAAGGTGTTCCATCTCACGATCTTCTTCGCTAATATGCGATCGCGAAATCTGCCTGATATACTGACAACAAATGCTTCACTATGATCGACCGAGAAACTCATCCAATCACACTTTTTTTTTTGTCACTGTGCCGCGTTTTAATTGTCTTTGCTTCCATAGAGTCACTGTTTAATAATCTGATTCGACATAGGATTTTCTCAGTGTATTTATAATTTCCTAGGCAACATTGATGAAGCTGTTTAAAAATCCATGTTTTGTAGCTTTGGTCAATTTGTTTCTTGGAGAGAAAAAAACAGAGAAAAAAACCCTTAAAATTGAGATGAAAGGCTTTTACACTTAATGGACAGACCAGGTTTTGCTGTAAGTGAAAGTCATACAGAATCGTTCTAAACACCTTTTCCTAATTCATAATCAAACAGAAAGGGCCTATTCCGAAATAAACTGTGCTATAATTATTATAGTCCAAAATGGTACTTATACACATGGCATTTTGAATGTAAGTTACTGTCTGACACGAGCAGTTATATAGTTTACGAAAATATTATTTTCTTTCTTAACTTTACAAGAAATTAAGTTTCAGATATTAACTACTCTACATGACATCAAAACCCTAAAAAGAACCTGCCTGTGCGAAATGTGCACCTTTATTTCATGCCAAGGACACTTAGTAAACTGTGATATCGATGTACAAAAAAACCTGTACATGTAGTACGTGAGGTTGACTCACTACAGAACAATCGGATTGGAAAGGGATTTCCCCTCTTCATGGCTTGTCAACAGAGGGCGCTGTTTTTCTTACTCAGCCGCTGCGTTCCGATCACCTGGCCGGCGAAAATGAACACTATTGGTCAACAGAGGGCGCTACTCCCCAGCAGCGAGTAAAACCACTATGAGTAAAACTCCCGAATAGCAAAATCTGCATCGTTTTGACAAAGATGCACGTACTAATGAATTTGGAAAATATTTTACATGGTAAATGATTGCATTTGAATTCGCTTTCAATGATATTTTTGATGGTAATTCAAGAGTATTGATGATGTCTGGGTCAAATATGGTAAAAAAACATTTTGACGTAAAGGGCAAAACCTATAATTGGACAGTATTATTGTAAGCAACAATAATCCTTTATTGTGTTCGTTAGGCAACCCGTCGCCTACTGTTTAGCCAAATTTACCATGAACACCACACTAGTTTTCCCCTCCCCCCGGTATTTTGGCATATGATCAAGAATTTTTCATTTTTTCACATAATTCACCGTTTATTTTTGTTAGTAGATAGAAGGTTGTGCCAGTAGATAGAAGTTTGTAAATTTGAAGCTCATCAATACTGACCTTTGTCGAGAATGTATGAGTAAAAGGTATTTGCGCGCAACTTAATTTAAGGTATTAATAATAGCCATTTTGTATCTTTATTATGTCCTTATCCGGTCTCTGATAGTGATTTCCTTTAGAGAATGTTATTCAAACAAGGAAATGTAGGTAGAATTCCAAATTCTGTTGCAGTTTGTATGTGTGAGTTTCACTTTAAAAATAAAAGTATTTTGCCTGGACTATAATTAACGAGACTGGAGATCAGTGCACAGTCCGCTATACAGTACGCAGTACCTTTACAGATATGCGTGTATATCAAGTGTGTTTGTGCAGGGTCACATTGATATTTAGTTATGCAAATGGAGGTAGAATTTCAACCTCAATTAATGCAGGTTACTTCTATGCAAGCCATCAGGTTCATTGTGCCATTTAGTTTGTGCGTTGGTGCATATTTTATTTAGTTTGTTTGCATAGAAAAAAAAAGTCTGTTCAACCGTGGGCGGAGGTGAAAGCGACCATATCGCGATCGCCACTACTTATTCGTGTCCTCGCCATAAAAAAAACACTCTACTCTCTCATCAGTGTGACTGGATAGCGTACAGAGAGCCGCAGAAAAAAAGACAGCTATTTGGAGCCCCTCGTGGAGATCGGTTGGTGTTTAGTAAAGCGCAAGTTGCCGCCTTATTATTGTGACTCACTTTTGTAACATCGTGGTAAGTTCACCTGGTTTTCTTTTTTTTTCCACCGGACCTCCAGCTCCATTGACCACGAACCGTTCAGAGGTTTTCAAACGTAAATATATGTATCTGAACTGAACTGAACGTCGTGGTTTTTGCAATGCCGTACAGTTTCAAACCTGCACTGTAATAAAAAGTTGGGCAAAAGGGTTGATTATTCGACCAACGATTGGCGAATAGTTAACATGTTTAACTATTGGGCAACATTGCCTAATACATATTGCGTTGTTTATATTTCGCCCAACGAATTATTTACCAAACATTTTTACATTGTAGTTTGGAGTTTAATTAACGTGTGATTCAGGAACGGGTCAATGTATATTCGCCTACCAATGCTGGCCAGCATGCACACATTATAGCAACACGACGACAAGGCCTAATGTCCTGCTAATCCCCAGAGCTTACGTCGACTTAAAGGACTGTACAGATAGGTTTCGGGGTGAGAAGAACATGTGTTTCAATGGATGACTTTCGTTTTGGGCGTCCCTGTTCCAAATTAACCTTTCAAAAACTCAGACGAGATTGAAAATATGAACTCGTTCCCATTACTTCAGTCAGGTTGGCGTAGCAGTACTGTCCTCGCCTTCCACCGCTGTGACCCGGGTCCGAGTTCCACATGGGCCAACATACACGTGGCCGAGCTTCTCCCTGCCTCATTCGGTTGCTTTTCCCTTTGAAATATTCTGTCTTCTCCTCTAAAACTGTAATTACTACTCACTATTATCCTTTATACAGGTTTCTTAACGCTTGCAAGCTACAGTACCTTTAGGGCGGTCTTTGGGAATCTTTTGTATACTAATTATAATAACTATTATTATAATAAGGTATAATAAAAAAAAACAAGGCCGAATCCCTTATCCTATAGTGTTTATATCAACACAGGCAATCATATGTGACCAGTAATCCTCTAATCCATAATTCTACAGCGCCAACCACAAACGTAGTTTTTATGCGCCAAAGTAGTGCCCCATCCAACCTGCCTCTTTTGTTTGTTAGACCCTAACATATTCAAGAACCGGTCGTAAAACTTTTGCAAAGAAGTAAGGTGAGGCATTTAACCCAAATGGAAGTCTGGTCCAGCAAAAACAATTATGATTCCATTTAAACCCTAGGAAGGTTTGATGAGATGCACAAACAGGCACATGATAAAACCCATCCTTAACTGGTCCTCACTCTAAACTAATGAATAAACATCAATTTTCTCGTTGGAAAACTTGGGAGCGTCAATGTAAGAATTAACAACAAGAAGATCAATAATAAGTCTCCACTTATTTTTGCCCTTCTTCGGTACCACATTCAGTGGAGAGACAACTCTAGGTTTAAAAGCACATTTGGCAATAATACCTTTCTGAAGCAAGTTCTTAATCTCACTATTCAAAAAGTTGTTTGATCACTTGAAAAATTTCTGTCAGGCAATTCAATCACCGGTGGGTCAGTGGTAAACGGTAGTGTAACACCACATTGAAGCCAACTAATAACAATAGGAGACGCACCTATTACTTGCCATTTGGAATAGTTAGAGAGTGGCATGATTGAGAACTATTCTCCTCCATATTGAGGTTGGTTGGGAGGATAGTTGGCTGCTAAGCCATGGAACACATCCGTTCTACCTTGACCACGACCACCTACACCTCTACCATAATTTCTATAAGTATAAGTACCCCTGCCTCTGGGGGGATATAACCTACAATTTGAACGTGCCCCTGATGTTGGTTTTCTTGAAGCTGCGGATAGTTCCGCTGCTAATTTTAGCTGGTTCACCCCTCGATCAGAGAAGCAAACATTGTTTTTCTGAAAGCTGTGAACCAACTTGGAGGTATCCTCGTCGAATTGTGATGCCACAATAACTGCCTCGTACTTACGCTGATTGTAGTCCAAGTTGGCTTTCAAAGTTAGAGCCAGCTGGTCCAAGATTGCTGGATCCACACTCTCATTCTTGTGAAGGTCGCTGTACGCTAGCTGAAGCACTTTCAGAACTGTTTCTACGTAGCGACTGCTCTTTTGTAGCAGAAAGTAAAGTGCCCTCTAAGTTTTATTATTGGTACCTGTTGGGGCCCTCACACAGCCTGAGTGAAGATTCCAGTTGTACTCGTGAGACGGTAGCCTTTACCGCGCTGATTTTCCTTTTGGATGTCTTCTTTACTGATGGCGGCCGCACCGGTGTCAGTGGCTTGTGTGTTTGCCTGATTATCACAGGCGCAATCGGGCTTGTCGTGTTGTGTCGTTTCAACCACTAGTACAGGCAATATAAGGTTTGACTTCAAACAATTGCAACAGAATTTTTTTTTACCACAGTGCATTTCTATAAGGTCCCTAAAATGACATACTAAAAGTCTTTAAAAATCCAGGTGGTGGAAATATGCCTAATTTATGTTAGGACTTTTGCATTGATTTGGTCATATTTCTCATACTAGGTAGATTTTGGAGGTACTTTAAAAGACAGTTTTAGTCCTTTTACATTGATATTACCATTATTCTAGTCCTAGGTAAATTTCAAGATCACTATGTTTCCGAAATTTTCCAAATGCCGTATAATTTGCATAAATGCCGTATATCAATTTGCCTAAATTAAAGTTAAAATAATGGATGCCATGTGTGGACATGTACCAAATGAATTTTCCCTCTAAATTTGGACTCGAATGTCGTACGAAGTCAATTTCGGTGGCAAACCCCATACATTTGATACCTATAATCTTAATGACCTATTGCTGATGATGTATCCCAGATGGATGGCAGCCATCTTGGATTTGTCAAAATAGCTGCCATCTTGGATTTCATTTATAATAACATTGCACCTGCCCCCCCCCCCCCCCTCTCTCATAATGAAACGGACCTTCCTGCTTCTGTATCAGACAGCGCATTATTGCCCTGTCAACTCGGGTACAAGCGCTGTGAGAAATGAAAATAGGGGTCCGCTCATAAGTCCGACGCCTCATAGGTCCGACAGAATCACATCCCCTAACCAAATAAAGGCCCATAAGTCCGACGCCTCATAGGTCCGACAGAATCGCATCCCCTAAGCAAATAAAGGCCCATAAGTCCGACGCCTCATAAGTCCGACGCCTCATAGGTCTGACGCCTCATAGCTCCGACGCTTCGTATGTCCGACAAATTAAACGCCTCGTTTTTCCGTTGTCGGACTTATGAGGCGTCGGACTTATGAGGCGTCGGACCTATGAGGCGGAATAAATAAATGTTATGCCTCATAAGTCCGACGCCTCATAAGTCCGAAATTTTGGACATATGAGGCGTCGGACCTATGAGGCGTCGGACTTATGATACGGCCCCTGCAAACACAGGGCGTCGCCTACCAATGTTAATTTTAATGGAGGGTGTTGACAGAAAATTGTCGACAGGCCGTCTGTACTGGAAGCTAGCCCGGGGTGGACACCACCCAACTTTTGGGGCATGTCGATCAGTGCCCCCAAAAGTTGGATGGCGTCTACCCCCGGGCCGCACTATTCAAAGCGAACGATCTTCAAACAATTATGGGAAGATAGGTTGCGCCATTCGTCAAAGCATATATTGGACAGGACGACAATTTTGCCAAAATTTATGTCACCCCAACCCTTCTCTAGTGGTACTTATGTGTACTCAAACCAAAGTATATTTACCGACAGGACGACAATTTTTCCGACAAAACCAATTGATGGGGGTTCTCACACCCCTTCACACACGCTCAAATTTGTATCCTTGTGGAGACATTTCCTTGTTCTCGTGTAGTACAGTTTTCGAGTTTGAAAGTGAAGTTCCAAAATGCTCTTATTTTAACCAGAATTAATTTCCTTGGCTGAAATTCGGACTTAATATCCCTTTTCTAAAACTCTTCCATTTGCGACAAATCAAACCACCTTGGAAATTTCTAGTTTTTGGGTAAAATCCATATATCTACTTCGTGAAAACCTTGTGGAGACCTTTTCATCTATAGAAATTGCCCTGTGGAGAACTATACAATCTTTTGTTCCCTATTGTGAAAATGTCTCCACAAGGATGCAAATTTGCGCTCACTAGTGGCACTCGTGTATATATACACAAACTCCAAAACTAAAGTATATTTGCCGACAGGACGATAGCTTTGCCGACAAACCGATTGATTGGGTGGAGGGGGCCAACACCCCTTCTCTAGCGACATACGTGAGTACAATTAAACCAAAGATGGGTGATGGGACTTTTCACTTCCCATGGTCACTTCCACGGTGTATCAATACAAATGTCTTCCCAACATGACTGCCCCATTTTTTTTTTCGTTAGAAAAGAACAGAAGAGACTTGAAATGAAGGGACACACCTGTGTGATTCTCTTGATGTGCCTCAGCTGTGTATGTGCGACGGCACTTCAAGGTATGTACATGTTCATGTGATTGTAAGATAGACCCTATGTAAGACTTAAAGTGGGACAGATAGGGAAAATATTTGAGGGAATTGTGCCTTTGATGACACGAGCCTGGCATTTGACACACAGTCTTTTTGACCCTGCCTTTATCCTCTAACTGCGCTTTGTCTATACGATTGGGAATTAAACTATTCGCAAACACATGTATTTCCTCGTATAACGGCAGAAATGAGGAATAATACTAGTCTTGGTTAAGATGTAAAGACTGGTAGAGGTAGCAAAATTGTATTGTGTTGTAGCTTGTTTTAAGCATGCCATTACACAAAAACAGACGAATTGTTTATACTTCTAAGCATCAAACACAGTAAATGAGTAATTGCTTACGAGTATAGAACAGCCATACCATAAATATTCAAAGGACGGAGACATATTAAGTATTATATTAAATAACATTAAAGGTACAATTCAAGTTTGCGTTTACAAAATATATGACGAAAATCTTAGAGGAAACATAACAATAACATTACACAACTATAACATTTGTATGTCTATCCACTTTTTGACTTGGTTTGATTTCACTTGTTGTTTACTTTTCTCAGAGAAATCGGCCAATGATAAGTTGCTTCTGGAATACCTGCGGGAATACCTGACCGAGTGTAGGTTTGCGTGATTGTATCTGTCATCTTTACTAATCTCACTTATAAGCATAGAGCTATATTAAGTTACTAGAGTGCTAACTCCTTATTCTTGCGCGCGTGAAGCCGCTCTGGGCGCAGACATTTTGAATTTATGTGCGTGTTTGTAGAACACAATCAAAGAAGATGGATTGAATTTTAAATGTGTACTCTAAAAGTGCAACGCGCAAGTAGAAGATACGCAAATAACCTAAGCGCGTCATGACGTTTCAAAAAACGTCACGGCAAAAAGCATCTGCAGCGGAGGGACGAGCATACGTTGCGCTGTTTGCGTAGAGCAAAATGAAACGCTCATTTGCTGATCGTGCGTTTCGGTTTTGGGCGTATCGGCTTCGATGACACACCGGTATGGAATACAAACGCATTAACGCCCTGGTTACCGTGCGCACGACGCTTGCGGTGTTAATATGGAGGTCTTCTGAAAAAAAGTTCGACTACAAACAGAAGAGGGACAAACAGGACGTTCAAGGTGGGAGGTCGATGCTCGACTATCAGCCTGCACGTATGCAGTATACTGTTCCTCCCTGGGGATCTCGAAAGTGGTCAAAATGTGCCATCTACTGACATGTACAAAGCCCATTACCATTAGTGTTTCTTTAGCATTTGGTACTGCATCCCCAATACATTCTTTGGAGTTCAGGGTTAAAGAAGCATGTTTCCTTGCTCTTATTTTTTTAATTTAGTGAAAATTGTACTTCATCCCATTGTTAGGCATTTTGCAACCCACTAGAAAAGGGCGTTTTGCCTAAATTAAACACTCCCTGACAAATTGTCTAGCAGCTAATAATTCAAGTTTTGTGAAGAAATAATAAAAATAACTAAATGTCGCTTTTTGACGAAATCTCATTCAAAAAAATGATTAGGTTTTGCATTTAATTTTGACAAAATAAGCAAATAAATTCTACTATACCTGTTTTATTACTGCTTTAACAAAAGGACATCTCTTCGTGGAGAGTGAGCGTGCGACTTTTAAGAGATTCACAACAGAAATATCAGATGAAGCCAAACTGCCAAACACACTAATGTGTCACATGGTCACACGGACCTACCTTGATTTGTCATGGCCAAATTGCCAAACTTGTGCAAATACTTGAAAATAGAGTAAACTTTTAAAATATGAAATTCTTTGCCGTGCGGAGTTAGTGTGTGTTCTTGGTTAATTAAGCACAACCTTAAAGGTATCCTTAAGCAGTGTAAAGACGATGGACAACATTAAACAAAAGTTACAAACAAAACAATCCCCCTTCCTTCCTGAAAGTCTGTGAAATGTTCACGAAAAATAGCACATTCATTTGTATAATTTCAGGCAGTTGTAGTTGGAAGTAGTCTCTGCTATTTCAGACATTGACATTTGCTTGTAGTAATTTAAATCTTCGGAATAGTTTGGTACAGTCCAACTCTGAAACGCCATGTCTGGAAAAGGTACGTGTTAACCCATGCATCCCTGTACCGCGTCAGTCTGCAGAAAACAACTGCTACTCTATGTAAGGTACTGCCCCAAACCACGGAAAGTACTTTTTTATTATCATTTTCAGCAGGGAATCCTCTTAAATGTAGTAAAATGTAATACAAGCGTTAAAGTTAATTCTGTCTCTCCCTGTCGGAGTGCAGTAAAGAGGGGAGATGAACCAGAAGCCGTGCCAGCTCAGAGGGGTACTGAAGACCTTACCCGCGACTACCCACCGCCCCAACAAATGGACTTGCAGACGCTTCAAGAACTTGACGCCGATGATGAAAGTCTGGTCAAGTACAAGCAAACTCTACTGGGTAGCACTGCAGATTTTTTAGGTACTGTGCAAATACATTCAAACAAAAAAAGAAGAACAAGACAAAGTCTATATCTGTCTAAGAACAGAATATATAGGACCTTTCAGTGTTATGATTTTGTTACTGGTTTATGCTTTTCTGTGGAAGTGTATATGCGTGTAATTATAACGAGTCACAACTTTCTAACACAATTGGGCTGATAGTTGTGACTATCAATTTTGAGTTGAGCATGTTGTGTTCGTGAGATATGAATATAATCTTCAAAATTTCAAAGATCTGAATAAAATCACATTATGACGTCATAATAATCTCATTTAAATTTTCGTCTATAACACATTCCTGTCCATGTACCTTCAAGGTTTCAACCCAATCGAACTTGTAGTTCTCTAGATATAAAACTTAAAATCTTCTTTAAGATGACGTCACCTGTTTGGTTTATGTTAATTCGAAAGCGCCCGCCTATGTGCGGCTGTGCGCTATATCTCTTTTGTTGCTGGCACAAAATGGATAAGCCAGTTAAATACGTATACATGTGCTTTAGATGACCTTTTTAATTCCTTAAATTTCAGATGAAGGCGGACAAAATGTACTATTGAAGGCCATGGTATTTGCTCCAGTAGACCACGAGGAAACTGTTCTGAATCTGACAGGTAAACGAAAACACAGGGCAGTTCCACAGTTATATTTAGAGGGGGTCTTTCGTAAACTCTGTGCTGTCATTCTATAAATTCAAAGCATTTAGGGTTGATTTTTCGGGGACGTCTCTACAGTCCGAAGTCCCATTGGTCCGAAGTCCTATTGGTCCGAAGTCCCATTGGTCCGAAGTCCCATTGGTCCGAAGTCCCATTGGTCTATACGTTCCATTGGTATAAACGTCCCATTGGTATAAACGTCCCATTGGTCCAACGTCCCATTGGTCCGAAGTACCATTGGTCCGAAGTCCCATTGGTCCGAAGTCCTATTGGTCCGACGCCCCATAGGATTAGGGTTAGGGTTAGAGTCAGTCAACCTGAACAAGTGGAACTACACAGTATTGTGACGAAACAGGCCCAGGGGTACATGTATATGAAGACTTGTGTAGGAGTCTAAGTCCTAGGAATTATTTATGCGTGTGATCTAGGACATTTGGTGCGTGCTTATAATGCCAAAGTGCGCGTGGACCAATCAGCAATAAATTGGTCTGCGTGATCAGGAGATTAATAATTCATGGTGTACAGTGACTAATCAGCAACGCGTATTGTGAAGGCTGTTCGCGAATTAGCATGCTTTAGCGTGGGGTCTTGAGATCATCTCGTGAGTTCGCAAGATGGCGTCAATGCAGTAGGAACGCGTTCTGAGGCTGTTGCCAAGTTGCAAGAAGCCAAGCTTCGGGGTTCAGGGACGAGTCAAGTTAGCAGTAAGCTAAGTGTTATCTAATATATCATTGAGTGAAGTTGTAGCTCAAGGTCTGTTATTCAGTGTCGACTGTCTAAGATAATTGGGGACAAAGATTTAGATGGAATCTAGTAGGGAAATTAAGACTGATTATTGTGTCTTGATTAAATGCTAGAAAAAAAGGACTAGGAGTTGTAGAACTTGGTTTGAGAGGCTAGTGAGACTGAGATTCGGTGGTAGATTGCTTGTCGTGGGTTGGACACCATTCGGTGGGGTTTTACGACTGAGGCAATCATTGCCGTAATCATTGGATTAGCTTGCCTAACGAGTTTACTCTTTGCCGTGTTCTGAGCACTTGTGAGGGTTACCTGTTTCATGTGAGATTTACTGCACGTAAGGTTTATATTGTATAACTCACTGTGAGGGTTACTGGTTTTCTGTGAGGGTTAATTATTAGGACCGCTCAGATCGTGTGAGGGTTATTTGGATTACATAGTACAGCCTGCTCTGACGATAAATCGTGTTGAGGGTTACCTTTCTTGTGCGAGGGCTATATGTTCATCGGGCTCATAGTGTAAATTGGTTTGAGGGTTACCTTTCCTCTGTGAGGGTTATTGGGACAACTCAATCTGTGTGAGGTATTGGAACTGTAATAATAACAGGGATTATACTTGTATAAGTTTATAATCATGTGGTGCAGTTGACCACGTGAGGGTTACCTAAGGCTAAGTTTACTACAAAGGGTGCAGTAACTGCAGTTGACCCTTGTTATAACTATTCTTGAATAAATCCTATTGATAATCGTCTTTGGAATAACTCGTCTATTTGAGGTTTACTCAGGTTCACCTTGAGGGTTACTAGGTTCACTGTGATGGTTACTTGAGTTAACTTTGAGGCCTATCGTCGCTACTTGTCTTGCTCTAATTACATTCAATGAATTACTCAATCACTAAACGGTGGTAAATTTCCACCAAACGAACAACTCCTAGGCTTAGTCCACCGTTCGTTAATTGTCCCCCCCCCCCTTTCGTATGGGTAGCCGCTCACACGTTCGTTAGGCTAATAGATATTTTTGTGGGATAATTGGTGTGGGTTGGAGTCGTGGGATAAAAAAGACCAGTCCCCTCGGGTTCCCGTCAACACCCGCCGGTTCCGTTACAAATGGTGTCAGGATCGGTTCCGCCACAGTATTCTGTTTCGGACCAATGGGACTTCGGACCAATGGGACTTCGGACCAATGGGACTTCGGACCAATGGGACTTCGGACCAATGGGACTTCGGACCAATGGGACTTCGGACCAATGGGACTTCGGACCAATGGGACTTCGGACCAATGGGACTTCGGACCCATGGTACTTCGGAATATTTTTCTCACAGAAAATCTTTTGAAATTAGGCGCACATTCTACAGAAAGGGCAACAAAACCAACTTCTGTTGGTCTGGCAATATTTTTTGTCATTAGTAGGCATAACTCACGCTACCAGGAAAGGACAAGGCAAAACAATTATGAAAGTTGCACCACACTGCCCCATGAACGGCGAAGTGGTTGTCGACTAAGTGGTTGTCGGCGAAGTGACCGACACCCGGGTGTCGATCGGGTGTCGGGTGTCATGTGCAAGCTACCAGTTCAATTATCCCCCCCCCCAAAAAAAAAAAAAAAAACTATCGTAAAGTTTCTAGAGGGATATTAATATTGGTAATTCACGTTATGGTAGGTATCTCACAATGCAGTCTGTCCACGTTGGTAAATATATAATATTTTGTTTGTAACTATATTCCCAAAATTGGTATAGCGAGGACACGAACGACAAATGCATTACAATGCGCCCTGAAAATCGCCACGTTTGCATAATCGTCAGTTTTGAAGACCGCCCCCATTGGAAGATGGTATACCAGCCCCCTCCCCCACCATTTTCTGATATTACGGATGCCAAAAAATGTCCGGAAAAAAGTGTCTACATTTCAGCATGGATGTGCGAGTGTCCCGTGTTGCCCCCCCCCCCCCGACATCAACAAAAACAATACTAAAAGCCAACCCCCCAAAAGGCTATTCGCATTAAAAAAATGAACCTTACTTCTTTGCCTTAAAAAAAGAAACTCACATTACATTGACACTTTGTATGTGAAAAAGGTGCCTAAATAACTTCCTAACAGCCATCATTTTTTTAACAACCCTCCCCCTCCCCCTAAAAAATATTTAACAAAAATGCACTTAACCATATTCTCACTTCAGTCCCCCCTTAAAAAATAGTTGACCCGCAGGTGCCTGCCTAGACGTTTAACCCTAGTTACGCCACTGGTTAGGACTAAGCCTTGGCATGATCGCAACAAACAATTTTCTCGGATACTCGGGCACTCCCTGTGACCTATGGGTTCTATGTACAACAAATTCTAAGAGCTGCATTTTGATGGTTGAAAATATACAGTGTTTTTTGGGGGGGATGGGTTGATTTTTTTTTATGATTTTTTTGCAGCAAAGTGTTCACAAAGGATTTGATAGCTCAGAATCGAACGATGTCTGCTATTAATTAACAGACTTTAAATTGGTCCATTTCATAAACAACAACAAATGCATGTGATCCTATGTGGCTTTAAACTGAAGGTTGTCTTCTTTTGAAATTGTTTTGTTTTCCCAATTTTCACTTGCATTGTCACACTTTTTTCATCCTCTTTGCTTTGTTCAAAGGTGATCTTTCTCAATTGAAACATCAACCAATTGTGGTTAAGGAAGGCACCGAGTACAGGATTAAACTCAAATTCAGGGTGAGTTGATTCTAATTTATATTGTCAGTGCCTGCCTTTCAAGAATTGCATCATTGGAAATGCAACAGCCACATTATGGATCTCGCTATTGTGCGTAGCATGAAGATTAAAATCAAATTTAGGATTAATAAAATCCAATTCAAGGTGAGTAGATTCTATTATATCGGAGCTTGCGTTTGAAATATTGAATCATGGAAAACACACCAACCAGAAAATTTTGGGGATCTTGTTCTTGCTAATGTGCACACCATGGGGCATGCTTGGAATTTTCTAAAAGGGAATATATACACCTTAATCATTTGCAACATAAACAAAATAAAAATAATAGTCCAGGGCCCATGCGTCATGTGAAATCATTGCACCTGGTGTGCTGTCATTTTCAAGAAAAGTGGATTATTTTGTACTGCCCATCAGTGGAAAAAAATACTATTTTGGTTCAAATACTGCCCCAATTTTAACAGGTTTAATAAGTCCACATTTTGTTTGAAGTTACACATCCGTGAACGGGTGGAGACCAGTTATTCAGTTCCCTGACCTGACAATTCCCCGTCCTCTATAATTTGGTCTGTTTCGTCTGAAGTAAGGTCAGGCAACTAGACTACAAGAACAGCTTTCGGTTTTTTTTTCTTTCAGCATCTGCATGTATAAACACAAACTTTAACAGGTCAGTTCAATGACGATATTTGCTGCAATATACTCCGCAAAACTACATCCTTTCTGAAAAGTACAGCAAAAGCAAAAGTTGTGTATTTCCTTTAACTCCCAATGCCGAGATAACGCCCTTTACCTTTCAGGCGGCTTGGCTGCACTTGCCATGAATTAGCTGCTTTGCCATCAAATAGGCATCAAATGGTCATCAAAAGGCATCACATTCTTTTAGGCATCATTGGACATCAAAAGAGTAGCAATTTGAGCAAAGTTTATAAAGAAAAACATTGAAGGCGTACATTAATCAGTCATCAAGAAACATATAATTGATGTAAACATTATGACTGCTGATATTAATCTGAAGCTCATGGCATTGTTTAGGCATCAATAGGAGGTATCGGGAAGGCATCAGAAGTCATCACTGAGCATCAGGCATCACAGGCAGGCATCAAACGGGCATCAAACGAGCATCAAACGGGCATCAAACAGACATCGATCAGAAGTCATCACTGACTGTCAGGCATCAAAGGGCATCAAAGAGGCATCAGGGAGGGCATCATTAGTCATGACTGACCATCGAGCACTGAGGAATAAAGAGGCATCATAAAACATGACTGGCCTTCGAGCATTGAGGCATCAACGAGGCAGCAGCAAGGCATCAAAATTAAGTCATCACTAGCCATCAGGCACCAAAGGGGCATCAAAGAGGCTTCAGGAAATCATTGAAAGTTATGACTGAACATCGAGGATTTAAGGCATCAAAGAGGCATCGATCAGCAAGGAATCAGAATTAAGTCATCACTTGCCATCAGGCATCAAAGGTGTATCAACGAGGCACCAGAAAGGCAGCACAAAGGCAGTAGAAGTCATTACTAACCATCGAGCGTTGAGTCATCAATGAGGCATCAGCAAGGCATCAGAAGTATGTCATCACTAACAATCAGGCATCCAAGGGGCATCAATTAAAGAGGAACCAGGTATTAGAAGTTATGACTGACAATCGAGCATTGACGCATCAAAGAGGCATCAGCAACACAATAGCATTAAGTCATCACTAGCCATCAGGCATCGAAGCGGCATCAATGAAGCACCAGGAAGGCATTCGGTGGTCATGACAGACCACTCAGGCATCAGAAAGGCATCACGAAGGCATCACGAAGGCATCATAAGTTATGACTGACCATCGAGCATTGAGGCATCAAAGAGGCATCACCAAGGCATCAGAATTAAGTCATCACTAGCCATCAGGCATCAAAGAAGCACCAGGAAGGCATTAGAAGCTACGACTGACCATCGAACATTGAGACATCCAAGAGGCATCAGCAAGGCAACGAAATTAAGTCATAACTAGACTTATGTTTGTGGACAAACACAGGGCTGTTTCGGTAACTTTTTGTGACATGTGACATGTAAAGTAAAGTTCCATCCAGGTAGGATGTGTAGTTCTGTTTATACTAAATGGTGGCATATAATATGTGATTACATTCTCATAGGGCTTTGAATTGCATATGATACTTGATTACATTGCATATAATATGTGATCACATTCTCATAGGGCTTTGAATTATGACACATGTCACGTGATGACGTCATGATGACGTCACATCAATTTTCATCTATATTAATTGTTCTGTAAATAATAATTAAGGCAGAGCATACATCGTTGAAAGCAAGTTCACTATCGATTCTCGAAAAAGTCATCTTCAGGTTTGTCACGGTTTATTTCAGATTTATTTTCAAAGATTAAATCTATTTATCTTAAACGTGACGTCACGTGACCCATGATGACGTCATCATGATGCCACTTCATTTTTCATCTATAACACATCCCGTTCTAGGCACATACCAACTTTCAACCCAATCGGACCTGTCGTTCTGTAGATATATGCCTTCAAAGCATATGACGTCACTTGTCACGTGATGACGTCATCATGACGTCACTTACATTTTCATCTATAACACATCCAGGTTTAGGTACGCACCAAGCTTCAACCCAATCAGACCTGTCGTTATGATGATGACTTCTGCACTCAGGCGTGCGGTCCGAACAGAATAGATTTAATAGTAAGGTTTTTCGTGATTCTTGAATTGTTGTCTTTGTTTTTTTTTGGGTCTGTATCCAATAAAGGTCCAACGTCAGATTGTCTCTGGACTGCGGTTTGTTTACGCTGTTTCCAGAAAGGGCATCAGAGGTGAGTGAATGTACGGTGTTGCATTTTGATTTTAGTCACACAATATCCAATCCAGTCCCAAGTCCTTTCACAAGCTGTTGAAATGACCTCTGACTAATGCATTCTTTTGTTATTAGTCATCCTCTACTACTTATGACCAGATTTTTAAAATGTATTTGTGATTTTTTGTGAATGGACTTGTAATGTACTGAACTTGAATAGAACACTGCATGGATGCGCCTTTTTGTGAGAAAACACCCGTAGTACAGGTTAACCATCTGGCACAATTTTTCTGGACCCCCCTCCAAAAAAAGTCTCAATGTGACGCGACATGGTGCCCTAATTAATAGCTGCCTTTTCTTTGTTTGTGCTGAGGAACCATCGCGGTTAAGGGTATTGCTTAGGGATGCAAAATCTATGATCACTTGTAAATCTACTTTAATTAATGATGAAAATGGACAGAACAATAAAGGGGGGAAGGAAATTTCTAGAAATGATTGAATTTTAAGTTCTAAATAGGCTAGAATATGGGCACTTTTTTGGAGACGGGGGGGGGGGGGGCTGGGGGCATGACCTCCGCCCCCCCCCTTCCGACTGCAAAAAAGAAGTGATGCCAGAACCACCACTGATCAAAACAAATTATGAAATGAAGAATTTAACCCAAATACAGATAAAACTCATCATCATACCAAAGTATTGCTTTCACACATAGCTACAGTCAGTGATGCACTAAGACAAAGTAACGCCAGGCAGAGTGCTCAGCAGATCAACGGGATGTAGTGAGAGACTGTAGCATTTAGATTAAGGATGAAAATAGCGTGGCGAAACCGTTCCCGCTTACACTTCTAATACCATTTGTGGCGGAACCGGCGGCTTGGCGGAACCCAGGTGGACTGGTCTTATTTATTTCAGGACTCAACCAACACCTATTATCCCATAAAAAAATATTTATTGGCCTCGCGCAAGGATGACCTCAATTACCCTTGTTATTGCCTGAACATCCTTTTATCCTTGTCAGTATGTTGCAAATTCAAACTTGTTGAGAAATTTATTATCCGCTCCGTTCGCAAGTACCCCGTCATCAGCAAAGACCATACAGTTTGGGGTGACCAACCGACGCCATCTTGCCTGACTGCAATTTTGCCGCAAAGCGCAACCACTGCGTTCCGTGTACATAGTTCAATTGATCCTGATTTCATCAAACTCTTCGTAACTTACGATGCATCGGAGCGCTGCGACGCGTCGTATCCCTACGATGCATCGCAGCTACGACGCGTCCTGCGATCCATTTCACAAAACACGTCGTTAGTGCGACGCGTCGCATGTGTATTTATAGCACAACTCGGTGACTGTTTTATGTATTCAGTAGTCAGCGTACAGTAAATAGTCGTCTGATATTCAACAAAGAGTCGTCGGATCTCAGCTCGAAATTTGTTAAAGCTTAAAACAAAATGGCGGTCGTGAGATGCTATTTTGAAGGAAAACAAGCTGTAAGTGGACTGTATAGCTACTTTGAAATTTCAAATCAATATTCCAGTCTAATTCATATTTATTCAATGAATTTTCTATTTACAATTTTACACACATTGCCTCAGTATTATAATCTACTTTATGTAATGTTTTTGGCATAAAACTGGCTAAAAAAGGACTCTTCTTATTTTGCGATGACTACTAGACACGTCGTAATTTGCGACGTGTTTTAAGCTGTTGTCAAGGAACTTACGACCATCCCCAAGAACACATCACGACAGGTGATCGACAAATGGAAAATAACAAACCTATGAGCTTGCATACTTAAGCAGGGCTCGAAAGGTTCACGGCTGGTCAGTTGGACATTGCAGTCAGGCAGTCCAATTAATCATTTTCAGTCGAGCTGGTAATAAAGCTGGTCAGTCGGTCGGTCGGTTGGCTGGCTCTTCAAATCCAGGAAATGCAAATAACATGTACAGTTTGACTCAAAAAAAAAGCGGAACGCCAACCCCCAAAAACATATTTCATATTTTAAATAGTATGTAGCACCGAAACTAATAATGACTGGAAAGCTTGTTTCATAGAAGGCACTTTTAGATTTAAAAAAATTGCTCAAACATTTTTCAAAGAATATTACCATTTAAATACGGTGACCATAAAACTTAAAATGCGATTTCAAGAATAGTCGTCACATTTGTCTACAAACATCATCAGCGATAAAACCTAATTTTAAAACTTTAAAATATTTCACAAGGTTCTTTTGAAGGCCCGTCTTCTTTGTTTTATTTTAAAGTGGATTGTAGAAGTGATATTGTTTGCCTAAGCAGGGTTGTTAGTAAAGATATTATGTACTAAAATTGTTGACAGTTGTTAAAATAAGTTTTCCGTGTCATTATCTTTGTTGTTCCAAACAGGACACAATATATTGCTTTCTTTTTTTGGACGAAACGCTTTTTAGGGTCATTGCGTTTAAATGGTGATATAGGCCTATTCTTCGAACGGATTATGCAATTTCATTTTTTTTTTTTTATCTAAAAGCAGTTTCTGAAATTGGCTTTCCAGTCATTATTATTTTCGGTGCTACACATTTTTACTATATATATTGGGGGGGGGGGGTTGGGTTCCGCTTTTTTGGACTCACCCTGCATAAGCCAGAGTTGTAATGAGTCACTAATTTTAGTGACTCGAGTCGAGTCGAGTTATTTGAAAGAAGTGACTCGAGTCGAGTCAAGTCATTAGGTCAAGACGGTCGAATTGAGTCGAGTCGAGTCACAGTGTGTGGTCGAGTCGAGTCAAAGTATTTAGCTCGAGTCACAGATATTTGAGCACTGCATACACTATACAATAAATAAACACAAGAGAGAAGTCATTTTTTGGCTTTTTAATTTTTACATTCGGGCTACTACTAAGTGGGTGCCAGCTGATCGTCATTCAACTAATGGGGACACTGATCGAACCACGTATGTATATGTATACATTATTCGCCAACGTCATGGCAAATATTTTTCGCAAAGTTTTGCTTATATTTTTGGGACTCGAGTCTCAATAGCCTTCCTCGAGTCGAGTCGAGTCATTCTGATGAGGGACTCGAGTCGAGTCGAGTAATTTGCTCGCAAGGACTCGAGTCGAGTCGAGTCATTTGCCCTTAGGGACTCGAGTTGAGTCGGGTCACCAAAATATGTGACTCGATTCGGACTCGAGTCGAGTCATTGACTCGAGTCATTACAACTCTGGTATAACCTCAATCAACCACTTGTTCTTTGCAGTGGACAACGCAAATTCTATGGTTGGGAGTTACGGACCCAAAACGGAAGAGCAGATCTTCCAGACTCCTGTGGATGAGTTACCCGCGGGTATGATAAGCCGTGGTGTCTACATTGTCAAGGGTAAATTCTTAGACGATGACAAGAATATCTACTTGGAGTGGGAGTGGAGTTACTCCGTTAAGAAAGATTGGGAATAAGATTAGAGTGATGATTTCCTACAAAGGAAATTGGTATATTGGAAGTGCGGTTTACTTGTAGATGATGCTGTTGGTTTTTGAGGGGGTACATCATGAATGTGAAATTCTTAATAGAATTTATGTTATCATGGTTCAGCAAGTATAGGGATTATGTTAGTTAAATGTATGCCACAACATATACAATGAACATGTAATTGATTTTTTTCCCAAAGTGGCACTTTTTTTTGAAGGAATTAATTGTGGCATAAGTCATCAGCATTGCCAGTGATGACCTTTTTTAGTCTCTCAGAAAAAGGAACTGCATGTTTTCCCCAAAAAATGTGTACATGTATAGGCCTATGGATCCATCATCCATGTACAGAACAAAACAAATGACGTATATACTTGTTTTGTATGAACATTGCCTTTTCTCAAAGTTTATCAGAGCAACTTGTACAACTCTTTGTTGAAGTCTATAAAACAACGCATTTATTAGAAAATACATTTTGATGATGCTATTTAATGTAATCGCTTATTAAATTACTTTTGGGAATTAATGATACATGTTGGTTGTATAGCAGGCTTTGTTTTATCTTATTTTTATCTTTATTTTAGGCTGTAATTAGACTATTCTGCCATAGATATAGATATTTTCTTTTGTTATATTTTAATTGCTAAAGGTTTGGTTTAATATGTGGTTTTGCTTTAAGTGCATAATATAATGTTATATTTCCGCAATGATGTATGGCTTGTTTGCCATAGTAGTGACCTGGTGTCTTTTATGTTGTCATCTAATTAATGGAGATTTTGACCAAGCGCTTTGGGAACTTGGTAACATAAAGCCACCAGTATTACGACAGTTGCATGCCTACCATCCGACAAGCTATTTTTGTCAGCACTAGAATGTAGTTTCTTTAATGACAAAATGAAATACATTACCTCATCAAATAACGATCAGCCCATGTTGGCATAAATCTCAAGATGAAGGCAAAAAACGAGGACCAAAATGACACGTTATTTGAAAGCATCTGTGTACTTTAACAATGTAGTAGTTTCCATTTTGGATTGGCGAAGCCCCCTATACCTTGGAAGTGGGCCAGAGGCATGCGTATTGATTTTTGTGAAGCCCCTTCAAAGAAGTCGTTTGTTAATGGTAATTGTCTATAAGCCATTTGCATTCTGCACACAAATGGTAATGTTATATATTTCACTAGGTTAGTTTTGAATCAATATCAGATACAATGTAGAATCATTCCACATTGATACTTTGTCTTCCATGTCTATATAGAAAGCAATCTTGATTCTATAGTTTAGCATACTCAGGAACAAGTCGGTTAGGGTCGGTAATGAGTAGCAGTTCAACTTTCAGGGATGTTTTGTTTTGTTTGTTTACCTTGTGCTTCCCGTCTACGTCATTGAACTTTAACCAAGTTGAAAAAAGTCGAACATTCCATTTTCAAAGTGCTGACTCAGTATCAGTACGAAATCCAAACAACACCTGCAAAATGTAACGTTATCCAATGATATTTAAAAAGTACAAAAGTCTATGTTACACAAGGCTCTATACAGGGAAATATCACCATCGTGCGCTTAACAAAAACAATTTACAAAACTGTCATACTTTTTATATCAAGTTATCCATATTGGGCCTTTTAGTTTTGAAAATAATTTCAACTGGATTCAAGTTTTCTGTGCCTCTTCTGTTAGATTAGCCTATATAACTTAATTGGATGCAGTCGCAATTGAAAAGAAAGTCAATGTCTACCTTATACTCGTAATCATGTTTCAGTTTGGTACAGGAATGGATAGGTAAATAAATAAATAATGCTTATATCTTTTTGTGAGAGAGTGTTTTAATTTGTTCCATATAAGGTCTGCAAACATCTGTTTAAAATCTGCTATTTGGGGACGCTAGTTTGGTGCACTAACAGCAACACCTCCTGCCCCTACATTATCGATGCTGATAGTGGCGGGTATAATTACGGTCTACCCTTCGAGAACTGACCCGCTTACCGTGGTCAACGTTGACCGTTGGCTTCGCGACCGTCGGACCGTTGGTCTGGCGAAATATTAAACGTTGGATATGTTGGTTCGACAATTCTTTTGGACGTTTGGCCATCAACGTTGGATTAACAAAAAACAAGTTGGCGCAACGTTATTTCGCCAACTTTGGGCGACGTATCCCCCCATCCTGCCAATTACGCTCATATATACGACGCATTGGAGTAACGTCGGCCCGACCAATTTTTGACGTTAGGCCAAATTCGAATACGTGCAAACTGTTTCGTCTGAACAATGTTGGAAGCCGACGTCAAATATTACTAATAACTTCTGAACAACAACGTTGGCAAACCAACTTTATACTAGTATGTAAACCGATCGTCAACGATGGCATATAATAATAGCAGGCCGACGTCGAATATTAGGCCTACAGACTTTTTACTAACTATATTGAACAACGTTGGCAGGCAAACCTCAAAATACAAACTGATCGTCAGTGTCGGCACAATTAACGTACGTTGGCAGGCTGTCCTCGAAACTGTTTACCGTAGTCCACGGCAGCTGCCAGCCGGCCAGCGTCATTACCGATCACCAAGTGTTAGCCAGAACGGGCAGGCCAGGCCGACGTCGGCAAAATGTTTGCATGCGACGTCTTCAGTTAACGTAAGTACAACGTTGTCAGGCCGACATCAAAACATATACACACCCGACCGATCGTCGACATCAAAATATATACACACCCGACAGATCGTCAAAGTCGGCAATAATATTACGCGGAACTAAAAACAGACATACCTTGATCAGAACTAATGCGAGTGCGAAGCGCGAAGCCCCTACAGCGTGGGGGGGGGGCAAGTGCCGCGAAAAATTTGGTTCTTGACACTCTGCGTTGTGCGATCTGAGGCAATTTCTGACAACTTTATTTTTTTTGTCTGCAAAAGATAATCGTTTAAACCACATTTTCGAGTTTGGAGTCATTGACTCAGCTATATTCTGTGCTATAGACGTGGGGTTCGGGGCAAGCGCTTAAAAGGGCCCTGTAGGTCCTGAAATCCCCGGAAAACTGTTTTGGGTCGTTTACTCATCCTAATTCGAACATCTTGTTTAAAAGAAAACAACCTCATGTCTTACCGTTCCCGAGAAAAGACGATAAAACCCCGGGTGTTTACAGCGGACCCTACGGAGTACACTCTAAAAAAGCATTAGTCAGTTTCGACTAGAAACCAGTGAAATTTGACTAGATATTCAGGGTCAGCTGGGTGCAACTGAAAATCAGGCAGTATAACTAGATACTTCCAGTCAGTATTATTGACTTTGGAAAAATAGTTATGCAAATAATTGAAATTGGAATCGAACCTACTTTTTCTAGTCATAGTATGAAACTTTGCATGTTTAATTACATTCCTAGTCAATTTTCAATAACTAGGAAAACCAGTCACTATTTTGACTAGGTAGTTTTTAGAGTGTAAGAATACGCTTTTCCTGTCGTTTGATCAATGTACTTAGTACGTTACACGTTGTGTGTGTCAATACAGCACCGTGCTCGCGAGCAGTGACCAATCACCAATGCACAAAATGAGGTTTCTATGGTCCGCAAAAGGCGAACACTTTTTTTTAACATTTAATATTGTGTCCCCCATCCTTCAAAAAGTAGGAGGACATGTCCCCCTGTCCCCCAAGGATTGACGCCCATGATGCAGACTGTTGGCGTACCATTCCGACTTGTAAGTTTACACAACGTTGTCAGGCCGGGAAAAATCAAACAAACCATACCGTCACCAACGCCGCGTCGGCACAACATTGGCAGGCTGTCGTCGAATATACACTGTTTACCAACGACGGACCAACGATGTCGGGTCGACTTCAATGGACCGATATGTCGAATATGCCTTCTTTAATATGTTTACCAACGTCAGGTGTACACCGATCGCCAGCGTCGGCATATGCGCATATTACGTTTGCAAGCCGACTGCGACCGTTCCAACATTAACCGATTGGGCGAACGTATAAAAGTCGAAATAGCTGAAGAGGGAGGTGAGAATCTATATGTGCCCAGATACAAAGAGTAGAAATCTACGCGTCTGCCTTTTGAAAATACACAATTGCGGTGTTCATTGTTGCATAATGATCCGCCTAGCACACGACTGTTTTGCACATTAGGCTGTGTTATGCAGCTTCCGAACAAACCAAACACACTGGGCTCATTATATCGACTTGTTTTTACCCATTAAGGTAAAGCAAATGGACCCAGTAATCTTCCTGGCGCGTTTGCTCACCTATAAAGATAACTTTTCTCAGTTTAAGGAAAATTCTAAGGTAACGAAATGGCCGAGTGGTTACGATTCGTCGTCCAGGGTTAGCGGGGTCCCTGGTTCGAATCCCGCTGGTGTCTTTTTGGTTTTTAACGAATGAGTTCAATTATTCACTATAAGAGATTTAATTTCCCGTCGAAAAGTACCAACAGTACCTTAGCTTAATCGGTAAGCACTGCTGCTGGTACTGTCCGCGAGTTCCAGGTTGGCGCCTTCGTACAGGTTCAGGGCATGTGGTCCACTCGGAGGATCAGGGCTTAGGGGCCGCCCTGTTCCTCCCTTAGCTCTTTGCTTTTACATGGTGCCTGGCCCTCCGGGGTTATATGGATGGATAGGGAAGGAAGTGTGTATTGGTCGGGGACGCCGAGACCCCGGAAGAGAACTAAGGGTTCGGCTGGGGCATTGTTATGGCTCAGACCGATCCCTGAAAGCTTGACTAGCACATAACTTTTTGATTTGTTTACCCTCTATCTTTTATACTTTGGTTTAGTTTGATATCTACAGCTGCTCGGCAGGTCTACGGGTAGTATCAAAATTGAAACAAAGGTGTATGTCATTAATCAATGATTATTTCATAATTGACTATAATCAAAACGGAGTTTCGTTTGATCAATTTGACTATCATTATATAATGACGCGATTGCCAATTGACGTAAGAAACGCCATAAATTATACCGGGAAAGAATAAAGATGTACATTGTAATATAAATATTATTTATACATCTTTCAAATAACGTGTCTTTAATTGTGAGCATTCCAAACAATACAGTAATTCGCAATGGTATTAAAATAGTTTATGAAAGCACGATCAATGCGTCTCTATTAAATTTAAAAATATATAATTTAGGCCCCTATGTGTGAAATATTCTTTGATTGACTATGAGCATTCCATACGAATGAGTTAATTCGCAAAATATTGCAACAACAAAAGAGAACAGAAAAAGAGAAAATTCCTTTACCCTGAAAACTGGAAAAATAATTTGTTTAAAAAAGTCAAATGGGACACTTCATGTGTTGATTTAACAGTTTGCAAGGAGTTAGCCTTACATTTTAGCAAAATTGGGAAACATCAGATGTTTCTGGATAATTGCAGCTTGTAAGGGGTTAACCTTGCATTTTTAGTAAAATTTAGATGTTTATGAAACATTTCAAATGGTAAGGGGTGAACCTTGCATTTTTTAGCAAAATTGGGCAAAATCAGATCTTTCTGGAAAATTTCAGGGGTTAACCTTGCTTTTGTAGTAAAATTTGGCAAAATAAGATGTGTATGAAAAATTTCAAATTGTAAGGGGTTAGCCTTGAATTTTTTAGCAAAATAGGGCAAAATCAGGTGTTTATGGAAAACTTAGGATTGTGAGGGGTTAATTTTGCATTTTTAGCAAAATTGGGCAAAATCGGATATGTATGAAAAATCAAAAATTGTAAGAGGTTAACCTTGCCAAATTAGGGCAAAATCAGATGTTTCTGGAAAATTGCAGATTGAAAGGGGTTAACCTTGCTTTTTTAGCATAACTGGGCAATATCAGATTTATATGAAAAATCTCAAATTGTAAGGGGTGAACTTTGTATTTTTAGCGAAATTGGGCAGATTCAGGTCT